TTGCTCCAAAATTATTAATGCTAAAAAGCTATAAAGGAATATATAAGTTCATGGAGTTTTGAGAACTTGTTACCATAATTAGAATTTTATGGTATTGATTTAATGATATTTGCATTACATACATTGTGTTTACATTGTATTTAAATCCTTGATAAGTGTATTCGCATTATAGTTGGGGCATGCATTTGTATCATGTAGGGAACATTTAATTCTTTGTATGATATTTGCATTTGCATCATCTAGTGAGAATATGGATTGTTGCATTTGCATCATTTAGATGGCATTTGCATTATTAGCATGACATTTGTCTTTGTTAGGAGAAAATGTTTGACTTTTGATTCCTCGAATGAGAAAGATCTTTTATATTAAGATTTTTGGACAAAAAAAACTTTTTAAACTTGTAAAGTTATAGAGCCTTTGTTTAAAAGAGTTTTTTGAATGAGAATTTTTTAAATTTTGGATGTAAAACCCTAAAATTTTTTAGAATGAGAATCTTTTTATGAAGCCAAGAATTTTTTGAAAAAGAACCTTTAAATTTTAGATGTGAAACCCTAAAATTTTTTTGAATGAAAATCTTTTTGTGAAGCCAGGAAGTTTTTTCAAAAAAACCTTTAGATTTTGGATATGAATCTCTAATTTTTCAAATATGAATATTTGAAATTTTGGATGTGAAATCCTAAAATTTTTCAGATGGGAATCTTCGAAATTTTGGTTGTGAAATATTAATTTTTTTTCGAATGCGAATCTCTGAAACTTTTGATGTAAATCTCTAATATTTTTTGAGTGTGAATCTTTGAAATGTTGGATGGGAATCTCTATTTTTTTTTCAAATATGAAATTCTAAAATTTGGATGTAAATTTCTAAAATTTTTCAAATGTAAATCTTTGAAATTTTGGATAGGAATATCTAATTTTTTTTCAAATATGAAATTTTAAAATTTAGATGTGAATCCTTAAATTTTTTGAATAAAAATGGTTAACTTTTGGATGTGAATCTCTAAATTTTTTAATGAGAATCATCGAACTTTGGAAGTGAGCTTTGAAATCTTTAATGCGAATCCATAAAAATTTTATCTTTTGAATGCAAATCTTTAAATCTTGTTTATGAATTACAGTTTATGAATCTTTACAATGATGAAAATTCTTATGAAACTAAAACTCTTGTGAATCTTTGAAATTCTTGAAAACCTGATATTTTTTAGAATTTTGATTTTTTTGTGAATTTTGAAATCTTTGCAAATCTGGATCATTTGCAAAACTTGAAATCTTGTGAATCTGGAACCTATGCCAAATTCGAAATCCTTGTGAATCTAGAATCTTTGTGAAATTTGAAATCCTTATGAATTTGAAAAATTACGACTCTGAAATCTCTGCGAAACTTAAAATCTTGCGAATATGGAATCTTTGTGAATTTGAAATCTCTGTGAAACTTAAAATCTTACAAATTTGAAATCTTTGTGAATATGGAACTATAAGAATCTTGAGTCATTTGCTAACTTTTGAATTTTTATGAGCTTAGAATTCTTGCAAATCTTGAATTTTTGTGAGTTTTGGAATCATTACGAATTTTTGAATCTTAGAGTCTTAGAATCTTTCAAATTTTGTTATGGAACCTTGCGAATCTTTGTAGTTTTGTGAACCCATGAATTTTCAAATTGTGAATATTTAAATTTCAAACTAAAAATTTTGATGTTTTTTGACATCTCTTATTTAAAGTTTTTAAAATTGTTTATGAGACTTTGTTTAGAGGAGTTATTGGACATTTTCTTTTTTTGAAAGTTGCATGCCTCTATCTATAGGATTTTTTTTATTAATTCGAGTCTAGATATAATGGGTATCTATATAGTTCGCAATTCTTGTTTTACAGAAATTGTGCAAAGTGGGGTAATTGTTGATATCCCATTTTGTCCAAAAATTTTTTTAGGATAAAAAATGGCCTTTTAACCATAAGTTGGGCCTGATTGTGAAACTTTGGGCCCAATAGGAATATTTTCAATTTTATGTTTAATTTGATATAATTTGATTTTTGGTTTAATGTTAGTTTTTGTTACTATTTTAAAAAAAAAAGTTAAAATTAAAAAAAAAGTCAAAAAAATAAAAAAAGAGAAAAATCATAAAATAAAAAAAAGGAAAAATGTGTTTAGAAATCGTTAGCATCAAATTTGGAAATCATGGTAGATTGCTGAGTTTTATAATTTTGGGAATTTTAATCTACACGAAAAAAGAAAGATACAAGAAATCAATTTCTAGAAATCAAATCCCAAAAATCAATGAAATTCACCTGTTGAATTTTTCCAAATTGAAAGGGATTAAATCCCTTTATAAACCAACAACAACACACAAACGAAAGTATAGAACTATTAAAAATCTTTTATGTTTCTTTGTTTAGCCAGGGAATATTAGGTTTTCAAATTAATTTTGATTCTAGGAGTTTTTTAATTCATTCTGTTTTTAAGAGGTTCTAATTCCTAAGTTTTGGTTTGGTTTTGGGAAATTGGGATTTATGGGATTTAGGATAAATTAGTGGTATTTAGGTCTAATTTTTTGTTTTGGGATTTTTAAAATTGGGTGTTGATTTGGTTAGATTTTGAAATTCCTTTGAATTTCTAAAAAACTTTGTTTTTTTCCTGGTTTTGAATATTTTATTTTTTATTTTTTTAAGAATTTTTGGGTTTTTCGGGTTTGGTTGAATTTTTCGATTAAAGGTTTGAATTTTAAGTGGGTTACACGATGGCCATAGGGGTTTTGATGCGATCAGACTCTAGGTTTATAGTCTTTCTAGGAAAATTTAAACTTTTTTTATGGCCAATTGAATTTCTTAATGCCAGAATCTGAATTTGGTGGTTGGTTTCTGAAGAAGGTTGGGTTTTTCGATTGGGAAAGCTAGAGAGAAGGCAAAGAGAAAAAGGCAAAGAGAAAAAGGCAAAAAGAAAGATTTTAGAAAGACAGGGGGGCTAAGGCAAACTAAGGAAAAAGTTGGAATCTAGCCTTTTATGCCAATCCAATACCATAGTTTTGCAAAGAAACTGACCTATGTGAAACCCGTGAAGATCCGCACGTGACCTGTTTAGCAACTTGACCTGCAATGTAGGTTTTTTTCTTTTTATTTTTGATTTTTATTTTATTTGATATTTGTTTTGTTTTGTTTTTTCCTTTTTTTTTGCTTATTATTTTAATTGAATGATCAGATTAAATGTGAGAAAAAAAATTTGGTAAGATTATTTGTAATGTTTTTTTTTTTTATTTATGCTTTTACATGATCATTAATTTATTGCATGATTATATATTTAATTATACTTTTGCATGATATTTTATATTAATTGCATGATAATTTATATATTATTATTTTTGCATAATTATATTATTTTTACATGATTATATTATAATTGCATGATATTATTTGCATGATAATTTTTGTTTATTTTAATTTATTTTTTAAATTTTAAAAAAAAAGTTTTTTCAATCCTACCAAACTATTGGAAGATTTAAATATTGAATTGAGTCTTATCAAATTAGTAAAAGACTTAATAAATTTTCTTAAAAAAATATTTTTTAAAAATCTTACCAACAGATTGGAGGATAGCTCTTGACGAAAAATCTTACCAACATATTAGAATATATTTTTTATAATAAATTGTTTTAACAAGTAGAAGTTTTTTTTTTTCAACAAAAAGATTAAATAAATCCAAAGACGGAGCTCTCTTCAGAGTGGGATAGTAGTCTTTTATGAATATTTTTAAGATGAGAAAATTATTTTAAATTTCTACCAAACTATTAAAGTAATTTTAAGATCAATTTTTAACAATTAAATTATTTGATAAATTTACGAAAAGACTTTATGACTTTGATAATTTGAAATCAAATTAGTTTCATCTTTTGGATCAACGCTGTGAGGTTGTCATAACTATTTTTCACACGTAATCGCACTCTCAAACTTAAAATCTGATTTTATAGACTAAAATTTATTTTTTTAAAATATCCTAATCAAATTTGAGATTTATCTTTAAAACAAAATAAATTTTGTTAAGTGACTAATTACACTTAAATAAAAAATTTAGTGATAACTTTTAAAGTTTATATTTAATGGTAAGTCTACAAATATATGACTGTTGTGACAAAATGTTTGCCGTTACTCAGTCTACTTGTTAATGGTTTCCCATGTGTTTTTACAGTTTGCTGTTGGCCTCTCATGTGATTGTTGGAATTTTCTTGTGGGCTGACATTCAGAAACCAGTTTTATGTGTTTTTCAAGAAACAGGTTCTCTCCGTATAAATTTACTAAACTATGAACTCGTAAATTGTAAATATTGAAACCAAATCGTAATTTTGTTGAAATCTATTTCTTAAAATATAAATTGGTGAATCTTTTGGAGCAAATTTCAAGTTTCGAACCAACTCTTCAAGCAAGTAGTATGTGAAATTATACAAAAATCGTTGATCATTTCTTTTTCCACTCTCGTTATTATTCTTAGTTCAAGTTGTTAGGGCTATAGAGGCTAGAGTGGGAAAAGAAAGAAGATGCAAGTCATCAGAAATGTGAAGGTAGCTGCTCCAGACTACTTGAGGATAAATAGAATGCTTTTGACTTGAAAATGATAAAAAGGCAAAAACTGGGGATAGGTTACATCTTACATGTGCGTGACATGGGCATTGTTCACTGACTTTGTAATGAAATTGGGTCCAATCTGTCAGTAAATTATTTCCAAAGTTATGCCTACCAGTTTTCTAGTTTCTCATAGACAATTACTTGGCACCATCCAAGGTTCCATCCTAGACGATAAGGTCCCTACCCCATGTTTAGAAGAGTCTGGAAACTAAAAATTTTAACCAGAAGCAGTAGCTGTTTAAAGAAACAATACAAGTCAACTCCAAGAGACCGCCAAAAATGTCTTTTGCTCTTAACTTGAAACATTGAAGTTGCCGACAATCGCATAGACTAAAAGTTCGAATAATCAAAGTTCAAATATTTACAACCTCAACTAAAAAAACAGTGAAGTTGTGTGAAGGTTTCATTGAGGATTTTTTTTTTTTTTTTTCAAAATATGGTGTAAGTTTACTAAAGAAGCACTTGGGGGAAAAATACCGTTAAATGTTTGCATATGACTGCTTAACATAAATGAGATATAGTTTTCAAAAAGAATGGAAGTTGACATTTTCCTATTCTTGCTCTGCCTGAAGGTAAGCACGGGTATATGACATTTAATCCACCAGTGTAAATAAATGCTGTACAATGCTATAAATTCACAAAATGACAGGTTCATAACTTTTCAAACTGCCTGAAGAATTCCACCATCTTCCATCCCAGCAATCTTTGGAGGCGATCTCATAACCTTTACCCGGAGGGCTGCCTGCACATTGCTTGGAATTTAAGACGAGGTTTAAGTTACGAAAAAGTGGTAGAACTAAGTGTATTTATGATAAAAGTGAATAAATGAGCTGCAAATGTTTTAGAGATGCGAAAATGACTTGAATTAGAAGATCTCGCGAGAAGCAAATGTTGAATAACATTTCTGCAGTTGTTGGTAAACTCATATTTAGATGTTATTTATTACCTTGTTACCGGATCCAAACTCAATAACATCTGAGGGACGAAGACGAGTAGAAACGCTTGGGGGTACCCTAGATCTTCTGCCTTCATGGCTGCACATACAGAGTTTAGTTTTAGACAGAAACTCCGGGAAATTTGACATGTATAAAGAGGTTCCTTACTGCACTTGACTTACAGGATATAGGTCCCATGTTCACTCTGCAAATCAATTAGGAAGAATGAACCATCTTTATAGCTGATTCGAGCATGTGTTTTGGATACCTGAGATAATTAGGCAAAAGAAAACAGAAAATCATTCAACGTAATTGTTGCAGAAGAGAGCAAACTGCGTTAGCTCTAGATCAGAGTTTTGAAACAGTTGAAAAACACCTGCGGTGAAGGTATCACCACTGTAGTTCCAGGAAAATTCTCATTCTTTTCACTCCTGCAATGGCCATTAAGCATCGACAGACATAAATTACTATAAGAGAAAAGAAGTAGACCGGTCAATAGGATTGATTAAGCTGCCATCAATTAACTTTCGCTTGGAATTCCACCCCCAAAAAAATGAAAAAAAAAAATCCCTTTTAATGACATAAATATACTACAAACAAATTATAAGCAAATACGTACCCAATCATGAAAGTTTTGCTCTCATCCCTTCTTAAACAAATAGGTTGCAAGGCAACTGCTTCATTTCCAACTGGCAACAAAAGCCACCTGCAAAACAGACAAGAAAGATAATAAAATATAAGAGCCTATCGTGTTGAATAATTTGTCAGAAAATATGATGAAATTCACAAATATAAAACTATCATACTCACTCTCCATTGATAGTCCGCTCCAATGCATCATTGTCTTCAAACCATGTTCGCAATTGGTCACTTGCCTGAAGAAATTACTTAACAGATGTTTCAAATAGTTTCTATAGCCATTTATGCAGAATCAGTAGGATGAAAGCAGCATACCTTGTCTGACAGTCTGCAACTTAAGGACCTACCCTCAAGTTTTGAGCTGCAAACATGTCAATTCGTTTTTAGAAGGAAGAAGAAATCAGAAACTTTGTCCTAAGATCTTATAGAATTCTTTTAGAACAGTTTTCCAAACCCCCTTTTGTCCTTTCCCCAACTTCAATTTTTTGCAATTTCAAAAGTTTTTGTCACTAAACTCTTTCCTGGCTCTACGTTCAGAATGCCATTTCATGAGTCTGTCAAAAAAGAAGCAATAGTACCATAGAACTCACTGAAACGCAGAAGATTTTGAAACTAAGAAAAAAATTGGTGAACAGAAGATGGTAGTTAACTCTTCTAAAGATGTTCCATGAATGTCAAGACAAAGATAGAAGCAGAAGATAACATGCATTTCAAGATCTAACCTGTTACCACCTAAGACCCAATTGAGCATTAAGGGCATAGCTAAGTTGATAAAAAATCTGCCACCAATTCTTCCTGGATGCGGGATCCGAAATTTGGTCAAAAACTGCAAAGCAGGTCATTTGTCATGGTGATTATGCATGCAATTTTTTCACAATTATTGACTTTATATAATTATTGACTTACATAAAATGATTTCTTACCGACAATGGACCAAGCCCTACACCTAAGTAAGCCTTGTAAGTTGAAGCCATGATTGCAGCCATTCTTGCCATTCCATGGATGATGGCAACTCGAAGTCTTCTAGCTCTCTCATAGCTGCGAAATAAATGAGTCAGTTTTGGATTGCAGAAAATAGATACGGCGGACCAATGATATCTAAGTAAGTTGGTTGTACAGATGTCATACATTATATAAAGAAATCATTATTAGCAGACAGCATGGGAAATTTTCAGTGAAAATCTAGACTGTGATGAATGAATCTGTTAAATTCAAGGATAAGCAAAGTTTTCCAGACATAAGAAACAATCCAAAAGATGCTGGCTAATGATATTCTACTTCTATGGTTTAGAACAACTCTTTCCTTATTAAGTACTGAATCAAAAGATACTCACTAATGATATTCTACTTCTGTTGTTTTGAAGGACTCTTTCCTTACTAAGTACTTAGTCAAGTAAAACCAGGCAGGGAACATGCAGTTGAACATGCTATATATATTCAAAAATTCAGTCTGAGAGATGAGTACTTTCTAAATATAATTTTTTGATTGAACACGCAGTTTTGACCTCCTTTTTTTAAATATTTGAGCCTTTCAAACTATTTAGGAAAAAGGAAATGCCGTAATACCTCTTTAAAGAAGATACAATATCAATAGAAGTCCTTGACTCAACACTTTGTTTCCATCCCTTATCAAGTTCCAATGCTAATTGGTAACTGTCCTGCATAATTGAAGGAAAAAAAATGTGCTTATTTGGCATGAGGTTCTCTTGGATAACCTGATATCCTTCTGATTATTGTAAAAACATGGCAAACACTAGTAAACTAACGTGGTTTTAACAACATATACACTATCTAGGGCAATGCTTAAATTTGGGGAAAGAACTGCCAAGACATTGGTTTCAAGACATACCTCAATGGCCATACATCCCCCTTGACCCATATTTGGCTGCATTGCATGGATAGAATCCCCAAGCAAGGTTACACGCCCCCTTCCCCAAGTTAGCGAGGGTGTTCGGTCATATATGTCACGCCGAAGAATTGAATCTTCATCAGTAGCAAGTAACAAATCTATCACATTATCACACCAACCCTCGAATATTTTAAGTAGTCTCTCCATTTTACCTGCAAAAATATGAAAAGCAAAAACATTAGAATACACTAAACCAATACAGAAATTAACAGTCAAATCCTATAAGTTAGAAACATTCAATATAAGCATTCTTATTAGTTGAAAATTTAAAAGAAATGTTTATGCACTTGATGTGTAAACAAAATAAATAACTTTCAGGGCAACTGAAGCTGCTTTCAATGTTTTTGTTAGTTTATATACTGAATTCTAACAATAAACATTGGAGGTTATCTACCATTGCTATCCACACCACCAGCTGGCTCCTTGTGAAATGCATACCACTGCATCTTTCCAGCACCAACATCTGAGGAAACAAAGTACTGCTTGTGTCCCAAAAATACACGGTACCTTCACAGGAGAAGTTTCAATATAAGCAACTATATGTAGCAAAGCCCCATGACATTCTAATCATACCCTAAGGTTAGAAAAAATACAGACTCATGATGTAAAGTCAATCATATTATGAAAAAACATAATGGAACATACCCAACAGACTCAATATCAGCAGGCACAAAATCTGCAATACCAGTGTAGCAAGTGTAGCCCGAGTATACAGCATCATTTGGCCCAAACAAGTTCTTCCTCACCTGAAAAGGAAAATTTTACAAACCATGATACCAGTTCAACATTTCAAGTATTGAACAACTAGTGACAAAACAATCAATGCCGCCATTGGTGAAAACTTCAAGTTGTATTTAGATTTTGATTTTGCTCAATTAGGGCAGACTAATGAAAAGAATTCATGTAGCTGACCAAGTTTAGAGTTAAGGATTAGTTTCTAATTTTGTTTTGCTGTTAGTACCAAGGGACCATACTGTCCATTCCCATTGTAGGTCAGCTCATGTTTCCTACAACTGAGTTTTCTTTATAAAACTGGATTTTAGCAATTATTTCAGCTTTAAAATAGCTTACTGAAAAAACTTTGATAATCAATTTGTCAGGGACATCTTGTCAAACTAAGCTTTAGACTAGGCTGTTAACAATCCAGTGTCTTAACACACAAAGCCTATGTTCTGCCTGTACAACTAAATTAAATAAAATGTACCTTCGACCATATTCCATCAGCTCCAACAAGAAGATCACCTTCATAGCGCATTCCATTTTCCAGTACCACAGTAACCTGAACTTTTAAATTACATAATTAGAAAAAAATGTCAACACAAAAGAATCAGCCAGAGGAGGCAGAAAGAAAATAACCCCTAAAGCCAGCTTGCTGAACATTAAAAGAAACTAATAAAATAGAAGATTTCATCCTTTCCTTTAGCTACAATGACTGTTAAGCAGATGATCTCGACCTATTGGCATATTCATATTACCTTATGTCCATCATCCTCAAAATCAACAACATTGCTCTCATTAAAAATTATGTCTTGGCCAACTGCATGAACCAGGATTTCTTGCAAAGTCATCCTACTAATAACTCTTGTAACTGGAAGCCCCCTTTCTGCTGCAGGGGTGAAAGTATCAAACTTGATGTACCTGTTTAAACCATGTATTATCTATTGTGATTGGATTTTCATAACCAATATTTAGACAAGGCAGCCAAACAACAGTATTAGATACAGAAACAGAAGTTAGGTAAAATATTATTATCCACAGCAGGGAGGTCTTCCTCCATTGTCTCACCTAGTAGCTTACCATATCAACATCCACAAATTTTATTCTTTTTGGGTTTCCAATCTTTGAGAAGTTATTTTAGCTATTACCTTTTAACAGAAAGATAACACTATCTAAAATTTTGCAATAAGCGAGCCAAACATATAGGATATAGCAAACATTACAACCAAAAACAATTTCAGGAGGGAGAAAAAAAAAAAAAAAAAACTTAATGCAAGAACCCTTAACTACTACTTACCAAGTACCGGAAACCCCATCAACCAATCCATTAATTCTATCTCCAGTGATGCACCCTGCCTCCATAACTTTCTCAGCAACTTCCATATCAATAGCCTCTAAAGCAGCCAATGCATTGCTTTGTATCTGAATTGGACCCCTATATTGCCCCTCACCTCTTATAGCACTCAAATCCTTCTCAAACACCAACACATCAAAACCTTTCTTTTTTGCAGCCAATGCAAAAACCAATCCTCCAATACCACCCCCAGCAACCAATATCCTCAGCTTCTTCTTCTCCAATTGATTCCCATCAAATTCATTCTTCTCACTTGTCTTTGAAACACCTTGGGTTCCAGCTGCTACTGTAGCTTTGACTTGTACAAGTCCCTTCTTTTGGTTACCTGCGTTGCTTCTAAATTGATAATTACAATGTATACAAGGCGAGGATTCTAATGGAATATACTTAGAGATGGAAACTGGAAACTGGGTACCCGTGAAAACAATTGCTGAAGGCTTTTGAAACAAAGTTGCAGCCATTGTTTTACCAAAAAAAAAACAGACTTTTCAACTTTCAAGTCCTCGTTTGTTGGTTCAAATAAACAAAAACAAGAAATTTGATTTTCTTTCTGTCAGAGGAAAACACTTTCGGTTTTCAAAAAAGTAAAGCTAGGGAAGGTAAGAAAGAAAGCAAATTGAACAGATTTCCCAATTGGAAACTGGACAGAACAGAGGGACAAAGAGAGAATGAGAGGGAAGTGAGAACAATTATAAGCCAATCACTCATGAACCTGAATGTAAAGAATTGTGCTGCAACAATCATGGAGATTCCAATTGCCATGTGGCAGAATCTGAAATTCCCACCGCACTATCTTGGGAAGAAATATCTGACCGACGTTCATATTTTCTGTGGTGGTGTTGAAAATACTTTAGCTTTCTTGCCATTGAACAACTTGACGTAGTCAACCGCCTTCACTAAAAACAAAAAAGAAAAAAAGCACTTTATAGTCAGCAACTTGGATTTTTTTATCTTTAAAATAAAAATAAAAATTTATATTGCATTTTTATCTTTATAATTTAATTAGACATTATTACAAATAATAAATTTTACATTAATTTGATTTAATTTTAAATATGAATAAAAATTTCAATTAATTTACATTTTATTAATTTTATTTATTTATAAATATACAATTATATATTTAAAAACAGATAAAACAATAGTATTCATATTAAAACCAATACTAATTATTTTAAATTGGAGATAAAATAAAATTTATATTAATTAAATTAAAATATTATATTTACATGTTCAAAGTATCTTCAATTTAATTAATCTCTTCTTTAATATGTTGTATCGATCCTAAAGCGTCATTATTATCATGTAATAAAAAAAACTTCACTTTCGGTTAAAAAAAATGATAAATCAGAGTTCTTAACGTAAAATGAGGGGATTGCAACATTGAGCTTGGTGGTGCTATCAAACGGTGTCTAGTATCTACTTTTAGCGGTTTGGATAAGATCATCGGACAATAATTAATTAATTAATGTTAGTTAAAGTTACTTTGACACCGCAAGACAATGTCATTGGTTGTTGATGGATCCACTTTAGGTCAGCTGTTAACACGTGGCTTATATTCGATCAGAAACCATTGACCGGGACGAGAAGAGTAATTAATTCTACAAAAGTATGGTCCGTTAATTCGGAATAAATTTATCTACAAACAATAAATAAATGTATCCATAGGCTCACCTTGGAGGAGTACAATTTTTAGACTAAATTTCGCCGTTAGACTCTTCGAATTATAACAAAATTTTAAACTACATCGTTGCACTTTATCTTGTCCAAATCTATTCCACCGTAGACAAAAAGAATCTTTTAAAAATTTTGTAGTAGGCAGTTTTTTTTTTTTTTTAATTATTCTGTTGTCTTTGAAAGCTTTTATGCATAGCTCGAGAAATTTTTTTTTTTGAGATTTCAATGTCAGATAAATTGCCATATTTTTTTTGTTTAATATTATATGGTAAAAGTTCTTAATAGATGCAACAAGAAAAAAAATAGATCATAAAAATTAGGAAAGAAAGGATTAAAAATATTTGATGAGAAAAAGAATACTAATAAAATACCCCATTGTTATAATCTCGAACTTCATTCTATTGCTTTCTTTCTCTTTTTTAGATATCACCTTTCCTTGTTGTTTTTTCTTTTATTTTTTTTTTTACCATATCTTTGGATTTCTCTTTAATAAACTTATAGAGAAAGAAAATAAGACGATTAACTCTTTTCGTTGGACAATCTTGTCATTCAGATCTTTGGGTTTAACTTTTCTTTCAAGCGTTTTCTTCTATAAATTTATGAGTTTTTCAATGTTTCTTTTCTGTATTTCTCATTGTATGTAGAATTAAGATTTAGGATTTACTTTGTTTTTCTTTTTGTATCAAAGAAAGCTATCTAAGTAACTGCACGAAAGATCTGTTAAAAATGTGCCAGGTTGAGATGATAGATGGTGTCAAAATAGCGCAAAATAATGGAAGAGATTGCCGTCGTTGAAGGGGTTGACTATAGTCAAATGGATCTGTTGGATTTAAGCGCTAGCTTGGGTTACTAGTGGGACCCAGGTCACAAAAAAGCTAAAGAGATGTTAAGGATGACAAAGAAAAGAGTGTTTAAGTTGGACCCGAGAGACGGTGGAGCTTTTATGGGTGGTTTCGCAATGCCGTATGATCCACCAAAGGAGCTCGAGAGGGAAGGGTATCGGATGGTGATATCCTTATTTACTTTGCTTTCCTTTTTTGGTGTCTCTTTGGTTGTAATTTTTGTAAATGTAATTGAGTAGCATGATTTCTTAAATGATAATGAAATTAAGTTTGAGTTCAATTTCGCATGAATGTTTGAGACTTTGACTATGTTTGAATTTCATTTGACATAAAAATATAAATATCTTTAATAAATTTTGAGATATTCTTTGAAGTTTTTTAATTTATTTTCAAATAGAATTTATTTAATTAATATTTTCTATTTTCTATTTTAGTGATAGGAATATGCATTAACAATGATTATTCAAAATAATTGTTCAATTAAATTTGAGGTAATTTTAAAGATTATGTTTTTTTTAACTTAATTTTTAATTTTGTTTGATTTTTAATAGTTATTTATTCTAATGTTTTCTTATTATTTTTCTAGAGATGTCATTGTTGTTTAGATATGAATGTTGATGAGGTTTGTACTATTTCTTAACTTTCAAGTGAACTAAAAAATTAGACTAATGAAATTTACAATTTTGGAAAAGGAAAGCTTGGCACTTGGTTTTACAAATAGCCTGTAGGGAAGCAGATGGGGCTTAGTAACTTTGACTCTTAATACTTTAATGATTATTCATGAAGGTTGAAAGTGTTATTGAATTTTTGTAGATTAATTTATTTTATTTTTCTTTGGGTTTATGGTTTTTTTTTGAAAATCTACAACTAAAACCCCTATGCAATGAAACTTTTTTGGAGTTCAAGATAAAATGGATAAAAAAAATGTATAGAAGTACCAACCTTTCATCCTATTTCTAATTTCACTATGAAATGATTTTTGAGTTTTTAAGTTATTTTCAAATAGAATTTATCTAATTAATATTTTTTTTTTTTTAGTGACAGTACTAGCCATTAATCATGATTATTCAAGGTATTTACTCAGTTAGATTTGAGGTAATTTTGAAGATAATGTTTTACTTTTACTTATTACTATATTTTTTTGTGCTTAATAGTTATTTCTTCTAATATTTTTCTGTTATTATTTTATAAATTTATTGTTAGTTTTGATCAAGCAAAAGCAATATTTGTTTGACAATTCTTGGTTATAATTAGTTTTGATGGCTATAATTTTTTTTAATTTATGTTTTCTATCCTTTCTTGCTATTAATTGTATATTATTGTATTTTATATATGTTGGTTTTATTATTAGTTATTCATAATTACTTTGAATTATAGATTTATCTATAGGTACTTCATAGGATACTTTATTTTCAATACTTTATCCTATTCTATTCATCATGCAAGTTTTGTCATTATTAAAATCATATATGTTTTAAAAGTTATTGAAATAAAAAGAAATTAATACCTAGGATTGGTTTATGGTCTACTACAAGGCTTAATTGGAATAATTGTTTGACATCTTCATTTAAATTTCATATATGTTTTGCTTGACAAAGGCACCACAGTATATTCTATTGGCAAGAAACCAATGAACAATTCAAAGAAGAACTAACCTTAAACTTAATTGTTACAAATATATTTAGAAATATTTGCATAAAAAAGGAAAAATAAGCAAATGTCTAAATTATAAATAATTTTAGATGCTAAAATCAAAGTCAATTATCAATTTCTAAACCAATTTAAACAAAATGTAAGGAAATTAAAAATAAAAATGGAGCCAAACAAATAATAAAAACTATAATGAACAAAATCGTCATCAAGAAAGAAGAATAATCAAAACAAAACTCTTGCGCCAAAGAACATAAAACTCGTAACAAATTTAAAAACCAAACTGACCTTAACTTAATCATTCAAATAACTTCAATAATCCCTAAAATAAATACAAAAAACAATAATTAAACATTTAAAACACTTCAACAACCAACTAAAGTATAAAAATAATTCAACAACCAAGATATCGAAAAAATCAATAGTCAATTTTAAATCCAAATTAAACAACATGCAATAGACTCAAAAAGGTAAAGTTGTAGGACCCAAATTAAAAATAGATGTAAATACTATGGGATTTAATCCTAATTTTAATTATCAACGTTAGACCAAATTGCAACTAATAAAGTTAATAAATATAACAGAGACAAAATTTTTTATGAGAATCTATATTCAATAAGAGAGATGCTTTGTAGTCAATCAAACATTTATCTTCAAATTAATTAAATAAAAGAAAAAAATAAGAAAAAACTTAAATATATACAAAATAATATAAAAAAATCAATACCCATTTATCTTTACAAGCTTCAATACTTTACTAAAGCATATTAATATATGTATCAATCTTTTCTAAGATTTCTTCTTACATAGAATAGAAGCTTGGATAAAAAATTTAAGGACATTACGAGTTTCCATAACCTATTACATTAACTCGGAACAAAACACTAAATAAAAAGTAAAAAAAAAAAAAAAACCATTGAATTAGCATGGTTTTTGATTTCTTAAATATAATTTTGTCGTAGGACCCAATAAAAAATTGATTTTCTTTACTTTTTTCTCTTTTTCATCTCTTCAATGTTCTTGTCTTTTCGATCCTTTTTACAACGATCACCGATGAGTACCTAACCTCTAAGGTCGATAAAGTCCATTTTGAGGTCATGTTCCAGTGTCCTTTACTCGTCTCATCTTTCATGTCTTTTTATGAGAATTCTCTCAAAATTTTATTTTTTTTTAATGTTATTCATCTAAAAAAAATTAAATCAAAATTTTAATTAAAAATATACATGGAGTTCGCGAACCATGAAAAAAGTACAAAAAAAAAAATTTCAATCATCGTTACCTACACTAGGCTTGAAGATGTACAAAACTTTCACGTCACAGTCTCTATCTTTCATGCCAAACTTCCACTTTTTTTAAAAAAAAAACAATGAATATTCACAACATTACTTGAAAGCTCGTACTTCCCACGGTCAATTATTACCTGCAGCAGGCATAAAAACATGCAAAAATTTCACATCACAGTTACTGTACTTTGCGTCAAATATCTTTAAAAAAAAAAAAACCAAACATTACTTGTTAGTTAAAAATCAATACAATTAAATAATATTGACAATTTATTGGATCAATAAGATCCATAGTCTCAAACATTCAAAATGCATGTCAAAACCCATACAAACTTATAGCCCAATTGAAACACTCAACAAAATCCAAAATTCAATGCACGTGTCACTTTCAACATCTTTTCGAAATTCCTTTAATAGAGGTTTGA